GAAATGAACATGAGAAGTCCAGTAGTAAACCCACTGCAAAAAACCTAAAATGAATCGGGGTTGACCTATATTGACCTAGGAAAAATAAATTTCGGACTCTGGGATTTTTCGAATTTTCTGGAAATTTGAAAATTGTGGAGAAATTACACATAGAAGGGCCCAATGTACAGAAACTCAGAATTCCTCGACTCAAATCCGCTTCATTCTTAGTTTCGGTTGCTTTACTAATCAAGCAACATCAGTTGACTGTTACTAAACACATTCACGAACCAAGAAATCAGCAAACTCGATTTTACTCTTAAAGTAATTTTTAAAATCGAACATCAATATCCAATTTTATGTGAAATCTTAAATTCCATGTTCATCTCCGGTTTTTGGTTGAGAGAAATATTTAGATTTAGCAAGTTGTAAAGAATCGCTGACTTGTTTCGCAAGTTAAGACAGATAAAACTATTGAAAATTGTGACCCTTTTTTGGGTTGAGGTACCAGGAGGGGTTTGCAGAAATTACAAGAGAGTTTGGTGTTTATTTTTTCAATATCTTGAACTATATGTGGGGAAGGTACCAGAAGCCACGGTCCGATCCTTACCATATTTATAATAGATCTTGTGTTGATCGAAATATTGAGATGTACCAAGACTGAATGAAATCGGATGTTAATTTCGCAAATTATGATCTTCATGGATATTCAAAATTTCGCAATTTGTTGACCCTTTGTGGGGGAGGTACCAGAAGGAGCGGACCGATATATGCCATATTCACAGCAGATAGTGTGTTAGCAGAAATAATTGTATGTGTGAAATATGAAGAGATGCGGAAGTTTTCTTCGGATATTATGATCGGTTTAGTTATTCAAAAGTTTAACCCTTTGTAGAGAGGTTCCAGAAGGAATGATCCTATCTCCACCATCTTTATAACATATCTTGTGTTGAATTGTAATATTGAGATGTACCAAGACTAAATGGATTCGGATGGTAATTTCGTGTTCTACGAGCTTCATGAACATTCAAAATTTTGACCCTTTGTGGTGGAAATACAAGAAGGAGTGGACCGATATTGTCCATTTTCGCACAAGATCTTGTGTTAGTAGGAAGAATGTAATGTGTGAAATATGAAGAGAACCAGATGCTTATTTTGGAATTAATAATCTTTTCGGTTATTGGAAATTTTGACCCTTTGTGGGGGAAGTACCAGAAGAAGTGGACCGATATAATCCATCTTTTCATCAAACCTGGGGTTAATAAAAATATTATGATGTATGCAATTTTAAGGCAATCGGACTCTTACATCACATTTTATAAGAGTTATAATTATTCATTGTCCATTTTCGCACCTGACCTAGAACTGATGCAAATATTATGATTTGCAAAGTTGGAGCAAGATCGGATTATCCTTTCTCTTTCTGGGCAGTAAATTATTTTCTTTGAAAGTGTTGTCGTTTTGTGAGGGAATTATCAGAAGGAGTAGACCAATATTGCCCATATCCGAACTCGATCTTAGTTTGATAACAATATTGCGATGTACCAAGTTTGGACCAAATCGGATACTCCCGATCGGATACAGATTTGCTCCAAAGAGACCTATGGTCTAAATCTGTTATTTCGATGAGGCACGTTTTGGCCGTATCAAATTATATATAACCTCTCTAGCCATATGTCTGAGTTTATAAAAATATTCAAAAGTTTTTAGAAATAGATATAAGAGATTTTGGCAGAGCGGATTATCTCTTCGTTGAGTTTTATAACATGAAGAAGGTTTTTTTTTATAGAACAGACTTCTTCACAGAAGATGCAGTCTTTAAGAGAGAAGGAATGATTTATTCCAAATGAAAGTGGCAGATGGATGAAAAACCGAGAATGTCTTTAAAAGAATTCCAGCATAAAACATATATCATTATTTATTTATTTTTATTTTTCTTTGCTACAAACAAATGCTCAAAATTAAACATCCCCACACTCGTCTGAGTAGGGAATTATTAAAAGAAAATAACGTGTGCAAATCGAAGTGAAATTGAACAAAAAAATATCTTTTTCGTTTTTTTTTTTTCAACTCTCTGTTGATATTAGCGCCAATCTTGAGGCCACACTAAACTGAACTGGCTATTCGATCGATGGCTGGCTCAATTGTTGTTGCAAATTGTTGCTTTCAATTAAATTAAGTTGTGCCGCTGTGCGGTATTATTGTTATTTCTTTTGCTATCATTTGTTATTATGGCCAATTTCTATATCTGCACAAAGCCAGCCAATTGGGGAGGAAAACAACAACAACAGGTTAATTTCTCGGATATGATGCTTTTGTGTGTTAACTGATCATGATCTTGTGTGAACGAACACTGATGATGATGATGATGACGACAGTAATGAAAAGAGGGGTAGCCAATAAATTTTGACAGAATGCAGAAAATATAAAAAAATCGAACGAAAAAAACTCAACCAATTTGCAAATCTATTTTTAATGTTTGCGAAAAAATTCCTCGAGACCAATTTTTGTTGGTAGCAAAGTTTGAACTGATTTCGTTTTTTATGAATTTTTGAAGGTTATTGCGGGTGAACGGACGATATATATATTGTTTTCGTTTTATTTGAATATGTTAAATGGTTGTTAACACACGCAAATTGTCTGCTCAAAAGTGGCATGGCAAATTTATTTGACGAATGCATTTTCATGTTCGCCAAATAATCATTCATAATTTGGTCATTCATAATCGCAATTTGATACTAATTTCTTGATTTTTCTAATCTTAAAATCTATAGAATATATTATTTAGCTTTAATGTTGGCAATAATAATGATATTAAGTTTCCTGTGGGTTTTTATTATACCCTTAGCCATATAGCTAGAGAGGGTGTATATCTTTTGATACGGCCAAAACGTACCTCATCGAAATAACGATTCTAGACCCTAGCTTTCTTTGGACCAAATCCGTTTTAGGACATTTGGAGTCGATCTAGCGATGTCCGTCGTCCGTCCGTCTGTCTGTCTGTCTCACTGGCTGGTGCGCACCATAATTCTCGAAGGGAGTATCCGATATGGTCCAAACTTGGCACATCCGTGCAATATTATTATCAAACATATATCGAGTTCGGAGATGGGCAATATCGGCCACTCCTTCTGGTAACTCCCACACAAAAGGTCAAAATATTCAAAAAAATATATTTACTGCACAGAAAGAGAAAGGATGATCCAATTTTGCTCTAACTTTGCAAATCCTAATGTTTCCATCAATGATATGTTAGGTGCGAAAATGGACAATAACAGTCCACTCCATTAAGTGCCTCTCCCACAAAAGTAAAAATGTTGAGTAATTATAGTTCTTATAATGTGTTTTAAGAGTCTGATTGTCTTCAAATTTCACACATCCCAATATTTATATTAACCCTAAGTCTGGTGTTGAGAAGGAATGTTTCGGTTCACTACTTTTGGTACCTCCCCCACAAATGGTCAAAATTTTGAATATCTATGAAGCTCATTAAACACGAAATGAACATCCGATTCCATTCAGATCTCAATATTTCTATCAACACAAGATCTGTTATAAAGATGGTAGAGACCGGACCTTCCCTTCTTGTACCTTCCCCACAATGAGAAAAAGTTTTGAATAACAAAAACGATTATAAAATCCGAAATAAGCATCCGTTCATATTTCACACATCCCATCACTCTGTTTCAAACGATTTGATTCCCACTAAGAAGAGTAAATTCTGTATAAAACTCCCACTCTTCGAGGAATCGCGCTCGCAAGCTAGTTTCTCTTCAGAGGGGAAACGTGCAAATGTGTGCTCTGATTTTAATTTATCTTCATGGACATCAGATGAACATGATGTGTTCACCCTAATTTAAAGAAGACAGGAGAACAGAATAAAGAGAAGAGAAGGAAATGAATAACGGATAGTGAAGAAGAGAGAATCTGAATAAAGAGTAGAATAGTAGGTTTGCATCCACGGTCGTCGTCCTTAGCCATTTTGGTCTTATGGTGCTCCACCGTCTCAGTTTCCTCCTCGTCCTGACAAAGCCTGTATTCAGCAGTATTCAGTGTCGTCACACCCCCGCCCCCCTATTTGGATGTCATGGCCTTTATGTTGTAGTGTCCTGTAATTAGGCCCACCACAAGCTTCAAGTCCAGCTTCGTCATGGATATGAGTGACCTCGATCTCCTTTCGGAATTTACCAGCCAAATCTTTTTGGAGACATTATGTCCCTTCCTGTTAGCCAGTTCTGTTGAAATCTCCCAAGATAAAGCTTATGCAGTACTTGGATGAAGTGTCATAAAGTTGGCTTCATTGATCTCTCAATCTCAGGATATACTGACTCAGATCCGCGTCTGGCCATTTCATCCGCCGATTCATTGCCAGATATATTGCACTGTCCAGGGACTCAACAGAGTTTGACAAACGATTTAACATTTTCTAGAGCATTCCTGCTATCCAGAACTGCCATAGAATTTAGAGCCTTCGGCCCCGCTTCAGTTCATTGATTCTAGCAGTTCTATGACCTTCCTGACAGCAAAGATTTCTGCCTGAAAAACGCTACAGTCGTTGTTTAGTCTGAAGGACCTTTGGATACTTAGACTTTCACAGTAGACTCCAGCTCCCGTTTCACTCCAAGGCTAAGGGTATAAAGAGCAATCACTGTCGACAACCAAGAAAGACATTGGGCGCCTAGTTCTAGAACATGTCATGAAGTTCTCAGTTCGCTTTGACTTTCGAGGGTATATGAAATCTCTTATCCATGATGAGAAAGCACACCACCCACACAGACATACCCGCTGGAATCCTACCAGATTATCTTCTTACCGCAATCATTTATTAAATATACTGGATGTAATTTCTATTCCTGACCACTGTGTATTCTTTTTTATTTTTTCACCTTTTCACTTTCTTTTCAACAATTAACAGATTTCCCTATACCATACACCATATACATGTTTCGAAAAAAAATAAAACTAATTATAACCAGCCAGCCACTCCTAGTAACAAAATCTCTATTTTCCTATCTTTTCAGATATTCCTATTGCTTTTAATAGTTTTATACTTTGCATCGTACGTGTTAATTTCACGGTTCAGACGTAAAGATCGTGATGATCTATTTTCCAATGATGACGATGAATTGCTGGTCTATCGCATAAGGTAGGAACAAAAATTGAACAATGATACAGCAACCATTTTTAAATTATATTTTTTATTCTTAAACTAATCAAAAACATCATCATCTTCATTCTTTTATTTCCTTTTCCCTCCGGCATCTCTACATCTGGCAACTAAACAAACCCATCAAAACAGTTCATGGCTTTGTACATTTTCAATGGCGATTGCGGTTGGTGCGGCTCTTCTACTGCCCGTTTCAATTGCCAGCAATGAAGTATTGTTACTCTATCCGAACAGTTACTACGTCAAATGGCTAAACAGTTCATTGATCCAAGGTAAGTGAGTTACTTGCTGCTGAGCCATTGATTGATTATAAATGGCCGTTGCAATCTTATGTTATGGCTGATTGATTTCAAATGTTGTTAATACAATTTTTTTGTTTGATTTTATTGCAGGTCTTTGGAACCATGTTTTTCTATTCTCCAATTTGGCATTATTCGTTTTCCTGCCATTTGCCTATCTATTCACTGAATCAACAGGCTTTTCGGGCCATAAAAAGGGAATCATAGCACGAGCCTATGAAACATTTACAGTATTTAGCCTATTGGCATTTGTTGTGCTGGGCCTGACATATGTGCTGTCAGCCGTAATGGATCCAGAAAAAATTGGATTTCTCTCATTGTTCAGTAAGTATGCCAATTTACAAAAGCAAAAAAAAAAAAAAAACGACTGCATTTCAGCGGAAACTACATTTGGCTGGGTTATTAATTTAGCAAAGCCACGACAGTTTCTACGTTGGGTGCAGTTACATGTTTGTGGTTCTTTTATTTTGCATTGCTCCCACATCCATAAACTGTTGTCTTTTTGTTCTTTTTTCTCCCTACAGATTTGGGCAGTGTTCATTTGCCATTTTTGTATTCATGCGTATCGTTTTTGGGTGTGCTACTACTACTCCGTAAGTTGATATTTTTTTACTACTTAAATTTTTGTATCCCTCCTCCATATTATAGAGGGTGTATTAACTTTGTCATTCCGTTTGTAACTCCTCGATATACTCATGTCAGACCCAACAGCGTAAAATTCTAAGTCGATTTAGCGATGTCCGTCTGTCTGTTTGCCCGTTTGTCTGTTGTAATCACGCTATCTTTCGAACGAATTGAGATAGAAGGCTAGAATTTTTCACACATGTTTATTTTGCCAGGTTTAGTTTATAAATGGGCCATATAGGTCCACGTTTCCATATATCCCCCATATAACGGTACCTCCCGATATTCGGTATTTTGATGATTTTAGCGACATTATTCACCGGAATTGTTTCAAATTTGGTATTTGAAGTTCGAAATGGATACTACAGCCTATGACAGAAAATTGTTTGTGCAGGTCCAGGTCTTCGTAGAGTCCCCATATAACGATACCTCCCTATATTTGCTATTTTGATGATTTTAGTGACATTAATTACCGGAATTGTTTCAAATTTGGTATTTGAAGTTCGGAATGAATACTACCGCATATGACGGAAAATTGTCTGTGCAGGTCCATGTTTTGATATAGCGCCCATAAAACGGTACCTCCAGATATTCGGTATTTGGATGATTTTAGCGGCACTATTCACCGGAATTGTCTCAAATTTGGTATTTGAAATTCGTAATGAATACTACAGTCTAAGACAGAAAATTGTCCGTGTTGGTCCACGTCTTCGTATAGCCCCCATATAACAGTTCCTCCCTATATTAGGTATTTTGATGATTTTAGTGACATTATTCACCAAAATTGTTTCAAATTTGGTATTTGAAGTTCGTAGTGGATACTACAGTCTATGACAGAAAATTGTCTGTGCAGGTCCAGGTCTTCGTATAGGCCCTATATATCAGTACCTCCCTATATTCGGTATTTTTTCGATTTTAGGTACAATACTCTCCGAAGTTGTTTGAGATGTAGCTACATTATCACCGTTTATTTCAAGTTTCGAATTTGAATATGGTAATGGCTTATGAAAAACAAAGCGTATGTAGGTCCACGTCGTATAGATCCTAATATAAGGGCTGTATTCGATATTTTTAAGATTTTAACAGAATTTTAAACGGATTTTATTTTTTGAAAATACCTAAAATTTGTTCCAAATGGTGGAGGGTATTCAAAGTTCGGCCCGGCCGAACTTACTGCTTTTTAACTTGTTTGTTTTAATAATGTGACTAATTACATTCGCCACTGTGGCACTATCAGACAATTGCGTTGCATTGCCATCAATCATACTTTATTATCAAATATATTCATCAATATAACACAATACCCCCAACACTTGTGTGTTCGTACGAATTTAATTATGTCGATATGCCATTTGTTTTATCAGATAGATTGTATTGATATTTTTTTGGGAAATTGAAGTGGCCGAAATGTACAAAACAGAACAAAGTTCAAAATGGAATTTTTTAGCTAGAAATGCAACTAAATGTATTTATACAAAATTATTTTTTGTGCAATCAGCAACTAGAATATTCAACCTGATAGTAGGAAGAGTACATATGTACTCCTAATAACTAACGTTTTCTTGAAACACTCTCACTAATAACGAATTTTTATCTTTATTAGATATCTGGTGGGAATAGTTTTTTAAATTTGCAAAAATATATTGGTCATTTGGCTATTAAAACAAATGCCGTACATAGGGGTATTTGTTTAATCAGCTAGATTTTATTGATATCTAAGTGATAGAGAAACGCATTTAAGTGGTCATAATATACCAAACAGCTCAAGGTTCATCGTGAACTTTTTTAATAGAAATGCAACAAAATTTGTTTAAACAAAGTGATACTTTTATGTGTTCCCAGAAACTAATATTTTGGACTTTATAATATGTATTTTCCGTCATTTGTTTTCTTTCGATACACAGCCATAAAACACTAATTCTTATCATTGTTTGAAATCTGTTGGTAACAGTTTGTTCAATTAGCAAAACGCTGTAGGTAGTTGTTAGTTTATTAGCGAAATTAGAAAATTGGTAAATACCGGTAAATTTATAAGAAATGTGTGAATTCCCGGATATTTTCCCAAATGATGGGTATTACCCGGATATTTCCCAAATGATGGGTATTACCCATGTTGGAAATGTGACCCACCAATTCATTGTGGAGCATTATTTTTTAATATAAAAACTGGCAAAAGGGGATAGGTGAAAATCCATCTACTTTACCCAGAAAGTATGGAAAAGAAAAATTAGTAAAAATTTGGAAAATAACATATATGCCAATCGAAAACTATTTTTTATTTCTCAAAATTTGTTAAATATAGTCATTTTAAAAAGATCTAGTGAAGATTCTATGCTATTTTTATATACCATCAGCCATATGAGATCGAAATAGTGGTTTTATACAGGGTGAGATGAAAAAACTGCAACCAACTTCAGACTGCTGTCATTTCTAAGCCACTCGTCCGACAGCTGTTTAAATTATTCCAGTGACAGCTCATTATACTGTTTACAAGCGTACAAAAGCATTTTGTTGAGCATTTTCCAGAAAAAAGTAAGCCGTGATGGAATTCAAGCGTGATAGTGTGATTTCTTTATATTTGGCTGGAAAACCACAAGTGTCAATCGTTAGAGCACTCCAGCATTTAAATGTTAATAAGTCTTTTGTGTCTCGTACCATCGCTCGTTGCCGTGATACTGGTAGGGAGCCCGACGTCGAGGAAGTGGACGGAAGAAAACAGCAACATCAGCTGAAATGGTTTGAAAAGTATATAAGCAACTTGATCGAAAGGAGTAGTGGAGGATGTAATAATTTTTGCAAAGCCTTGGCATGCAAACAATTTGGCCGCAGACCTTGGACATTCCCACAGGACTCAGCACCATCGTACTCAGCAAGAATGGTTACAAAATGAGTAACCAACCAAGAATGGTAACTAAGAATGGTTACAAAATGAGGTTCCTCGCTTTATTTCCAGTACACAGTGGCCACCAAAATCTCCGGATACCAATCCGTTGGAGTATTTTGGAAAGCACGGTTGTCACTAAAAAATACCAAAGTGTCGATCACCTCAACCTCAAGCAATTTTTTGCTTTCATTTAAACACGTTTAAAAAAAGGTCGAAAGTTACCATACAGAACTAGAAAGAACATCCAATTTTGTGAAAAGTTTGGAAATCCTAATATTTATATCATAATATGCTACGTCAGGTGCGCAAATGGAATATATCGGCCCACTCCATCAAGTACCAACCCCACGAATCGTCAACATTTTAAATAATTATAACTCTCATAAAATGCGAAATAAGCATCCGATTCACTTTAAATTTCGCACATCCCAATTTTTCTACTACTTTTTTTGGTGTGAAGATGGACTATATAGGCCCTGCGATTTTGCAACTAAAAAATTGCCAATTTGAGATTCCACTTTGAGATTTTAACTTCTTTATTAGAAGAATTCAAACATTCAAAATCCGAACCTGGTCATTATCGGTTTTTGGTTTGACATAATTAGACTACGGTTGGTTTCTGAAGATTCTATTTATATTGTACTCTTTTAATGCTACACTGACCGCGTCTGAGTCAGTCCTGATTAAAAAGCCTCTAACCGACAAATAATGAGGTTCTCATGAAAAATTCCAAAAAAAAAAAAAAAAAAAAAAATGAAAAAAAAACACTTCGGATGGGTCCTTGGTTCCCTCCCTGGCTACGTCGGTGCCACAGACCGATCTATCACATTATAAGAGGTCAACAAGGTCTTCATGTCCACACCCCAAGTGTTACCGACTAGCGTCTTGAGAACCTTGTTCCTACTTTTCAATTTATAACAGATATATGAGGCTTGAATTTGCCTCGACCTGCAAATTCAGCTGTGTTCTCATACCCACAGTGCGACTCTTAATTTAGTGGCGGATACAATCCCTCGCGTCGAAAAGATCTTATATTTCGAGTTGTCTGTAGGTCTCGTTGTATACCTACTAACTAGCCACTTTTGTACAAGATATCTGACCTCAAGACTATGTGAAGATGAAGAAAAGGTAGACAGGTAGATAGGTAGGCCACCCTGCTAAGTATAGTTCTCTCTTAAATCTCTTTTTTTTTGCTCTTTCCTCTAAACATCAAATTTATTCTTTCTGGGAAGAACACAATGGACCGAGGATGTTTAAATGAAGCTACCGTTCGCTGTGTGACGATTCCTAAAACCCAACCACAATCTCTCCCTCTAGATTCCCGGACTTGACTGAGATAATTTCATCTTTCAATGTAATTTCACTAAATCTATGATTTGTAGGGCTCGATCGCTGAAATTCATCACGTTTATCCCTAAGTCCCGCTGAAGTGTGTCAAGCAAAGTCAAATTAAGAACAATTGTTATTAGAAAACTGGAGAATACGGACTACTTCCACCCGTCTTAGCTAGAGGTCAACAGGTGTCTTAAAGTGTCAATGTTTGAGGATGCCGGGCGCAACTTTTTACTTCCGCCATAGTTATTCTGTTGTGCTTAGGCTCCAGTCTAGGATTTAGGTTTTAATATAACCAAGAGTAAGAAGATAGTGTCATTCCCTTCACTTGATAGAAACAGAGGATTTTGGATTCGCAGTTCCCGAAATGGTTTTTAATGGATATATTCTGGACATTTCTCAACTATAAGTTTGTATACGTTAAACGTTGAGCTCTCTTTGATGCTTTAAAAAATGTACGTATTTAGGATATTTTTAAACTTGCTCCACAATGAAGCTGTTATATTCCTTCATTATCTTATAAAACCAAATAAAATTTAAAATTGTTGATTGTAAATTAATTTATCCACATATTTTTTTTAAATCGATTCCGTTTTGAATTTTTCCAAGAAATCATCAATAAAATCACCCTTTTTTGGATTATTTTTTCTGGCCAATTTTATGCTAGTCTCGAAATTCTTTTCATCACCCAAACGTTTATATGCCGCGGCACGATACAGCCAACTACGAATATTTTTCTCTTCCAATTTGTTTAGCACATAATCACAATCCATAATGCCACGTTTATAGTTTTTCAATCTGCAAATAATAGTATTTATTTGAAGAGATAAAAATATGTTGTCTAAAAAATACTTACTTCATATAGGCCAAAGCACGATTGTTGTATAAAATTGGACTATCCCGTATATGTTCCATTGCCTTGGTGTACATGTTAATGGCCTTTTCATAGTTTTGTTTGCGAAAGGCTTCATTGCCCAGACTTATAATGGAAAAGTTAAATATTGAAAACTATTTAAAATAGATCTTCTTATTTTCAAACTTACGTCCTGAAATGTTGTGCAATGCGTTCCCGTTCTCTTCTGGCCTTGGCCCTCTCATCGGCATCCTTTTCAAATTGCTGCATAAATGTAAATTTATCCATAACATTCGGATTGTCATTCTTCTTGCCATCGCTTTCGTCTTCATTTTCGAGAATACTTCGATTCAACACCGTGCGACTTTCTTTAACCGTCACAATGAAGTTATTCTCATCTATTTCATCGAAAATATTCTTGGGCCTTGGAAAGAGAAGATTAATTAATTATTCGAAATTCCATGATGATTTTGACTCACGCTGCCTTTTTGGAAGGACTGCTGCCGTCATCCTCCTTTTTATTGGCGTTATTAATATCTTCCAATAGCTTCATCACTTGATTGACTTTTGATTCAAATTCCAAGAAATCTTCATCGAATCCTGGTGGGTTGTTCATGGCGTTTCGTTATTGTTTTAGGTTGGAATCTCTTCAAAATTTGTCTGATCCTCTTAGGAAGTAATTTTCATTTATCCTTAATTTGATTCCTGTAAACAATATTGTCAAACACTATTGTTTGGATTAGTGTTGCTATGGTAACTGTTTTGAAAATATTTGTACGGAATTTTCTAGGATGTTATAAGGAAACGGACATTTATTTATTTTCTTAATGGGAATATATATGCCATGTCTAGCTGCTTACAGGGTGAGATAAAATTTTAATTTTATTTAATGAAAGCAAAAAATGTCGGCAATAGCATCAAATTTTAGAATAAGTTTAGATTTGTTCGAATTGGTATTTTTGGCACGAATTGTGGCCTTCAAAAGGCCAACGAAACCGTCACACGCTGCCCGAATGTTGCTCTGCGGTATTTCGGCCCATTTCTGGCGAAGCGGTTGCTTGAGGTGATCGACACTTTGGCATTTTTTAGTGCCAACCTTGCTTTCCAAAATACTCCAGACACAATAGTCCAACGGATTGGTATCCGGAGCACTGGAAATGAAGCGATGAACCTCATTTTGTAACTATTCTTGGGTTGCGCGTGCTGAGTGCTATGGTGATGAGTCCTGTTGGAATGTCTGCGGCCAAAATGTTTGCGTGCCCACGGACCCTCCAGAATATATTCGGCATTTATTCAGATGCCACGGTCGGTTAATACGAGCGGAGAGTGACCATCGGCTGTTATGGCGGTCCACACCATCACCATGGCCGGGGCTTGAGTTCTGGCGGCCAATCGAAGTTGCACATTTTCAGCTGATCTCTTAAGCAAGTAACACGATCATTTTGTTATTTTACTGCTGGCCAACGAATATTTTCTCATCGGAAAAAAACAAATTCGGCTGTTTCCCAATTTTGGCCAAACGAAGCAACTATTTAGCTTTTTTATATTATTCAAAATATACACCATCTGTGGAGTTCGATAGCGTGGATCGGCCAATCCTGGCTTGTTTTTGTCACTTGAAGTTTTTTAAATAAGATTTTAACTTTCAAGAATCTACTATTTTCCAATTTTTTTTTTTCGATATTATAAATTATTCTTGTAAAAATTTTAATATTTTTGCAGCCCTGGAACAACCCAAACATTTACCAAATAAATTTTTTTTTAAATCTTGTCTTTTTCTTTACAGTCTGCACCCCCTTTGGTTTTGTTCGTTTATTCGGTGTGGTGGGTCAAGTTTTGGTCAAACCACACCTTTTGCGCGATGTCAACGAGGAATACATTGCATTTCACATGGAAGAGGCTAGTGTTAAAAGAAAACTAGCCAATTTGGAATTGCAAAATGTTAGCATCAATGAATCTCTTCTCAGCAATGGTAACGGTAGTTACACAACATCTACAACATCGTCGTCCAACAACAGCTACAGTCGAGGCAGCTATGATATGCCAAATGGCAACTATCTTGCCAGTACCATAACAATTATTGGCGGTGGCAATTATTTAAATTCCTCATCCCACACAGCCAATAATCATCATCACCATCATAATGAATTTCGTAGTAATAATTTCAGTAATTACTACAATCATGTTAGCCATAGAACGCCATCATTATCCCATCTAATCCAAAGAAAACCCCTAAATGGCGAAAGTCATGATAATCTTGCTAAGCTCAATGAAAGACTGAGAGAATTAGAGTCTGAACGTAAAGAATTGGATAAATTAAGAAAATCATCGGCATTCCAGAGAAATTTTGTCTATCCGCTGGCCATGCTGTTGCTATTGTTTTTCACCGGCATAACAGTGCTGTTGGTGGTGCAGAACACATTGGAGTTGTTGATTGGTATTAAAGCATTGCCGCTAAGTACCAGGGTAAGTTTTAATGAAGCATTTACATATTTTGTGTGGGAAGGCAATTAAATGTATTATTTTTTCTTATTTCGTTTATAGCAATTTACATTGGGTATATCATCTCTATCCAAATTGGGACCAATTGGAGCTGGTCTCGAAGTGTGTCTCATATTTTATTTGGGAGCCACTTCAGCCGTTGGCTTTTATACCATGCCATTTATGCGAAATGTCCGGCCACAACGGCGTAAAACATCACTATCACAATTGATACTCAACTGTGCATTAGTGTTGATTCTAAGCTCCGCCTTGCCATTGCTTAGCCGTATTATAGGTAAGTTGTGTAAAGTAAAGTTTGAAGAAATGAAACCAAAAAAACAAAAATAAAACCGCTAAGGAAATTCAAAAGTCGTGCGGGTCGACTATATGATACCCTACACACACCACTATGCATATTTAGTAGAGCTCCCGTAACAAAATAATTTTTTAAAGTATATCATACCACCTATCAACATTTGGCTTTAGAGCAGTTATAGTTTGGTTTCAGAGGTAACTAATATAAGGGAGGCATATCCAATTCTGAATCGATGTTCACTAAATTTGACGGAGACATTTTAATCTTTGATACCAAATAACATTGCTATAGAGTGTAGGATATCACTTCGGGAAGGATTATATTAAAAAGCCGAGTTCCACAAAATGGAAACGTACGTACGGAAATTCACCCCATGTGGGCTGATATTAGCCACTAATTGCACAATAAACCTGAAATCGGATTAAAGATATTTAGGAGCTATATCCAAATCTTTCCGATCTCGATAAAATAAAAAGTATTTCCGAGCTCTATAAGATATCTTGTACAAAATATCATTGTTGTCGAATGAATATAGCGAATGTGAGGGACTTAAACACCAAATCTTGATACAATTTAGCAGAGGAATTTTTGGACTGTATCTGATTTCTGTTAACAAATATTATTGTTTTGAGGTGCATATTACGCATATGAGGGACTTAAAAACTAAATCGGATGAAACATACAGGGTGAGATGAAAAAACTGCAACCAATTGCAGACTGCTGTCATTTCTAAGCCACTCGTCCGACAGCTGTTAAAATTATTCTAGTGACAGCTCATTGTATTGTTTACAAGCGTACAAAAGCATTTTGGTGAGAATTTTCCAGAAAAAGTTATTCCTGATGGAATTCTAGCGTGATATTTGGCTGGAAAACCACAACTCCAGCATTTAAATGTGATTAAATCTTTTGTGTCTCGTACCATCGCTCGTTGCCATCATACTGGTAACGTAGCCCGGCGTCAAGGAAGTGGACGGAAGAAAACAACAGCATCAGCAGAAATAGTTCGAACAGTAAAGAAGCGACTTGATCGAAACCCGCGTTGCAGTTACCGAAAAATGGCTCGTGAGCTGAACATATCGCAATATTCCATTCGGCAAATAACGAAAAATGAGCTCGGGGTAAAGTCATTGAAATTCCAAAAAATGCAATAACTTACACCGCAACAGAAAGAAAATAGACTCCAAAGAGCTAAAGAGTTGCTTCGCTTGGCCGAAAGTGGTGAACTGCCGAATTTGGTTTTCTCCGATGTGAAAACATTCGTTGTCCAGCAGTTTTTAAACAAATAAAATGATCGTGTTTACTTGCCAAAGATGTCAGCTGAAAATGTGCGCCATCGGTTTCCCAAAAAAACTTTAGCGCCGGCCATGCTAATCGTGTGGGCCGCCATAACAGACGATGATCGCTCTCCGCTCCGTATTAATCGACCGTGGCATCAGAATAAATGCCGAATATTATCGCGAAAATATTCTGGAGGGTTAATTAAAGCCTTGGGCACGCAAACATTTTGGAAGCAGACCTTGGACATTCCAACAGAACTCAACACCATCGCACTCAGCACGCGCCACCCAAGAATGGTTACAAAATGAGGTTCATCGCTTCATTTCCAGCGCACAATGGCCACCAAAATCTCCGTATACCAATCCGTTGGACTATTGTGTTTGGAGTATTTTGGAAAGCAAGGTTGGCACTAAAAAATACCCAAGTGTCGATCACCTCAAGCAAGCGCTCCGCCGCGAATGTACCAAAATACCCAAGAGCAACATTGGGGCCGAGTGTGATGGTTTCATTGGCCATTTGAAGACCATAATTCGTGTCAAAGGTGACCAATTCGTACAAATCTAAACTTATTCTAAAATTTGTTGCTATTTCCGACATTTTTTGCTTTCATTCAATCGGATTTAAAAAATATGTTAAAAATATGGCGTTTGACTTTGTTGCAGTTTTTTTATCTCACCCTCTTTCCCATCTCAATGTTTTTGCTAAGATTAACACAACAGCCCAAGGAATCAGAGTGAAACACCTGCCGATTCCTGTGCAGCTGCACATCCTTAAATAAAACCAAACTTCATACTTAAACCCCGGGCCGGACTAGGAAATAGTTTGTTACTAAGAATCTCGGAAATTCGACTTTTCTATTTTACTGTGATGTGAGGTAAAAAATCGTGGGAATAATTGCGAAGATCACCATATTTTGAAAGCAAAGTTGGAAAATTGAAGAGTCAAATTTGAATCTCTACCACATTCTACGATTTTGCACAAGACCCACGAATGTAATCCAAAACGCCAAAAACGCTAAATCCTAATTGAGGTTTATTGTTTTCTTGGACAATAATTGGTAGCAAAGCGGCAAATGAACTGTTTCGGGGATAGAACATGATATCAGAACAAATTTCGATAATTTAACAGCTCCGATTGCCACATAGGTGGATCTAATAAGAACCTAAACGTCAAATAACATGTAATCTGGTTAAAATTAGAGCAGAAACATTCGAAAATCGGAAGGTTTAGCAATATGGGAGCTACTTCTATTGACATCAAATTAACAGCTTTGATTAGAAACCCCATTGAGTTCCTTCAACATATTTCCAATCAGAAGGTACCATTATATAAAGCCTATACTTTCTTCCAATAATATAGAGAGGACGAAGAGTTACTGTACTCTTGGTGCCTAAATGAATACTTTAAAAACTTTATTTCTAAGCAAAATATAAAATCCAATTTCTCATACTAACACTTTTGTTACTTTCTTTTACAGGCATCACAAATTTCGATCTGCTGGGAGATTTTGGTGCCATCGAATGGCTGGGAAATTTCCAAATTGTACTACTGTACAACTTAGTATTTGGCACAACAACGGCACTGGTTGTGGCCAATAAGTTTACAGCCACCGTGAGACAAGAATTGTGTGCGCGGTTAGTAGAAAATTATGTAATTTTCACAAATTACATGTCATTCATCAACTGATATTTACTAAAACGGCGCACTAAAATCATTCCACTGTCAATGACTGCAACAACAGCAGCAGCAACGATAACTGCAGCCACAAGTCAGCATCCATCTCTTTATCATTATCATCAACATCATCAAATTCATTTGCATGGCTCAGCGACAATAGAAGCTGGTAACAGTAGTAAAATTTCATTGCATTCATCGAAATCATCTCTGGCCGCCACCAACACCACTACATCGCCTGCCTCTTTAATCCAGTGGAGACGAGTGGTGGAACAACATTTAAATGGGGATGGTTTTCTTGTGTCGTTTTTAAGAAATTTTGCCAATTTTTATGCGAGACATTTAAAAGTCGAAACTTAGTTTTAGGTTCACAATGCGCAATCAATTTAACGAGATAATGTGTAATGTTCTCCTTACAGAAAATATTCTAGCTATCCTATACAAAAGAAAATTTTAAAATATCTTTAAATATAATTATAACATAACAAACTACTAATACTATATTTATGGCATTAAACTTCTACTGCATTGTTTCTGTACTAAAAACGAAAAATTTATCATTATTTCATTGTATTCTAAATTAGCAAAATAATATAAAATTTACTAGAATTGTAATTTAAACTAACAAGACAACTTAGTAACAAATTATACATAATGATTTAAATATTCTATCTATACATATATATAAATATTTATTTGCAAACGAATTTATCATTTCTCATTTTTCTTTCATATACTATTTTTATCATTATTTTCTAATTTTTTTTATAAATTTAAAAAGGATCTTTTTTTAAAGTATTAAAACAAAAAGAAAAAGACAATCACAAAGACATTAATACTTTGAATTAATACTACATCCACTTGAAGCTAATTCCACAATGACATTTTTTTATTATCCATAAAAGAATCCTTTCTAATTTGACATAAATGCTCTTTTCACCGAGGGAAATTATATTATTTTCAATATGTTTTATTTGTCCCCCTCAAAATTATCTTTATTTTATAAAGTGTCGCAAATTCAATTACAATTCGAAACAAAAGAATGTGCGTCCTTACCTTCAAAGCTTTATATACTTTTATTTGATTTTAGCAGTAGAAATCTATAGATTTTTAATTATCCTAATTAAGTTCTGTTCTAAAAATAAAAAAACAAAAACTTTTTATGTGTTCGAAATATAATACCATCCATGATAAAACAAAAAATAAAATAACCACTAAATTAATGTTAACAAAATTATGTTGTTTTGGATTTTTGCAAGAAATTTAAAAAAAAAAAAAAGATTCGGACGGCTCATAATGAATATTGAATAATGAATTGAATATTGAAATTGAAAAACATAATAAGAAATTAATATCAATAATAAGGTATACGAAGTATTTTTTCATGCCCCCAACATATAGTGTTGTAGGGTATAAATATCAAATTAATTTTCCTGATAATACTGTGGGTATGACAAAAAAAAGAAAATGAACATATTCGTACAAGTCTAAATCAGCGAAACAAAAAGTAGAGCAGGAGTGCTGACCCAAGTCTAATATAAGTATTACGGCGTGCCATGTTTGGACTATATAGCCTACTTCCTTTATACTATTTAAGATACTCACATGTATTTTTGGAAAATATTAACCTCTTGTTGTTGTTGTAACATCTAATACTGCTGTGTTCGTTCTGACTCCTCTCAATCGTGTTCCTGGGCAGCGAAATAGGTGCAGCGTGCCATATGGATCTCTGCCACAAGTTGGGCAGATGTTCTGCACATCGCTGTCAATCCGGGCCCAATAGGAATCCGGATCTTAACTGATCCAAAACTACTCGGGTTTTTTGTGGCAGTTCTCGCTCTTCAGCTGCGATGGGATTGAGGTGGTCTCCATATACAGTATTCACTCTATTTCTCTCTGTACCTCACTCTCTCCATATCGTGAAGGTCTTTCCTTACGTGCTTGGGCGGAGGTTGCCTATCCACCAGATGGTGATCTGACGATGTCTGTAACACCCAAGCAGGTATTGCATTGACAGCATTTTATTATGTTGTCGCACCGGTAAGACCTTCGCCTCCTCATGTAGGTGGTCGATAGGTGTAATGAGGAGGCACCCTGTTGCGGTTCTAAGGGCGGCATTTCACTGTGTATCACCAACGATGGTGGATAACGCCGGAGCCGCATAGTTTACCCCTGTTGTGGGGGAGTTACAAGAAAGAATGGCCCGATGTCTTCTATCTACGCACTTTATCTAATACTGATAAAAATATTGATTTTTCAAATATTTTCAATTTTTGTGAGGGAGGTATTAAAAGGTGTGGACAGATATATTCCACATTTATATTAGATCTATGGTTTATAAAAATATTAAGATACAGTAAGTTCGAAGAAAATAGCCGACTTATTTCGCAAGTTATGTACGTTATAATTATTCGAAAAGTTGGCCCTATGTGGGTCGATCAGTTCCGTATTCACACTAGATCTAATGCAGGTAAAAGTAAAACAATGTTGGAAGAAACATCGAATATTTTTTTAATTTTATGTGACGTTTTACTACTTAAAATGTTGAATTCCGAGTGGGTCGAAAAATCTCATAATCACAGCAGATCTCGGGTTACGTGAAATGTTGAGATGTAATATCTATCGGATCGGATTTTAGCCCAAATTTACACTCAATTCAATTATAAACAAAGACCACTTGATTGTCAGGAGTATAAAAGAATCCCCCTGGCCAATCTTCATATCCCTTTTAACTGTTTTACCCTCCACCATGCATAGTATGGAGGGTATATTAAGTTCGTCATTCCGTTTGTAACTCATCGAAAAAATAATTTTAGACCCAACAAGGTATCTTCTTAATCGGGGTAAAATTCTAAAACGATTTAGGACTGTCCGTCCGTCTGTCGTAATCACGCTACAGTCAAAACGAATTAAGATAGGAATCTAAACTTTTTTAACTTTTTTATCTGCAGGTAGGTCAAGTTTGAAGGTGGGCTATATCGGTCCACGATATTCCCGATATTCGATATTTGATGATTTTAGCCACATTTTTCAATGGAATTGTCTGAAAATTCAGACAAGGAGTTCCTTGTGAGTATTTTATTCCCTAGAAGAGATGTGTCTATAAGTTACACGATATCGTATAACCCCCACATAACAGTACCCCTTCATATTCGGCACTTTGATGATTTTAGCCACATTTTTCAACGGAATTGTCTGAAAATTCACACAAGGAGTTCCCCCTAGAGGAAATAAATAGGTCTACGTTTTAGTATAGCTATCATATAACGGTGTCCCCAGATATTCAGTATTTTAATGATTCTTGCGACATTATTTACCGGAATTGTTTTCATATTCGTATATAAAGTTCGGAACCGTTACTACAGCCACATTAGTAAGTATTTTTTCATTGATTTTTTTTTTAATTTTTCAAGTTTCTTCCAAATGGTGGAGGGTATAAAAAGTTCGGACCTCGGCCCGGCCAAACTTAGCTGCTTTTATACTTATTTTTGGACTGTCTACGTTTAAGTGTTATACAGTTTCAATGTGAAATACATTTATGGAAGTCCCGGTATAAACACGAGTTATTTGATACAATTTAGAGTTTTTAAAAGAAAATACATATCCTCATTAAAATTATTCGTGACTAAAGAGAAATTCACAGACGGCGGTCTATATGGAACTTTTTCAATTTGTGCTGTAAAACTATGTCATGTGTTCGACGGCTATGTAAAAAACTTATTCATTCATGTATCATTCTATTTCATTTTTCAAATATCATTTTACCATCAAATGCCCACCATTTTCTTATGTTTGAATTATGTGTATTTATATGTTTTTTTTTTTTCTTTTGTTTCCTCTTTTGTTTTATGTTTAATTTCAGATTAAGTGCAATTTTTACACTGGGATGATATGAAGAAAGTATTTCAAGATCAATCATTATTATTGTACCAAAAATTTGTTTTAAGGATATAAATTTATGTGTAAATATAATCGAAAAAGCAGCGACTAATCCGAAAATTATTTTCTACGTAAACATAATAAAATGAAAAATACTAAAAATCTTAGATGAGAAAATTTTATTTTCGAAATTTGGTATAAGTTTACGTCTTTAGTGAGTGTCCCAAAACCTGGTTTAAGCTAAAAATTCGTTTACTATATTAACTATTTTGTATTGTTGTGGATGTCGTTTTGTAGACATACACGACGGCAGCGGGTTCTACGAGCGAATGAGTGAACTGACATTGGAAGTATTCAGGTTGGTACAGGGGCATAAGCGGAAAAAATGGGTAGACCATCTGAAATGTTGCAGCATTGGAACCGATTTAAGTAAACTGTGGGTAACTGTAAAGTTACTCTCGAACCTTGAGAAAAAGGATGATAGGACAGCAGTCACATTTAACGACGTAACGGTGACTGATCCGAAGAGGTGCGCTAGCCACTTTAACCGTCAATTCGTCGAGCACCCCGAGAGTGATAGGGCGAGGCGAAGAGTACTACGTCGTATAAGAGCTATCCCGCCGAGGATGTACCTCCACACTTTACGATGGGTGATGTTGCGAATGTCATCCGAAACACTAAGTCATCGAAAGCATTGGGCCCGGACGGTAGTTTTAAAACAACTGGATACACCGGGAGTTCAGTATCTAACTAAAGTCCTTAACCTATCTTTAGCCACCCACATAGTTCCCGAAGCCTGGAAAATGGACAGAGTGATCCCGTTACTGAAGCCAGGCAAAAATGCCAGAAAAGGCGACCTCTTGTAACGCGAAAGGTCGGTCTGTGGTCAGCTATGTGGCTTCAGTATGGTTTGTGAATACTAGTGCTACGCAGTGGAAGCACATCCAGACCTACCAGAACGCTGCCCTGAGAACTGCGACAGGGTGCCTTCTCATGACACCAGTGGATCATCTACATGAGGTGGCGAAAGTTCTTCCCTTACGTCAGCATAATCATATGCCTTACCTAAGAAACATTTTAAATAATAGTCTTTATCTGATTTATAACGTTTAAATAGCATTATTTCTTTTATTTTTTTCTTTTTGTTTAGTCTTTTAATTTATGGTTTTAACAATTTATTTATGTATGTATAAATATGCTATAAGCCGTTTTGTTTCATCTTATTCATTCATCATCGATTGCATTGTTTATATTACGTTTGAGGATTATTGTGTGTGGCTTTTTTTGGTATGTGGTGTTTTCACAGGCTTCCACTGTTTCACTTCACTTCTTTGAGGAAAATAAACAGATGCTTACAATAATTATTGCAAATTAAGTAATAACAAAGTGTAATGATGATGGAAATGACATAGAAAGAGTTAGATTCCAAGAGATTATGATATTCATGTGTGAGAACTGTTGTTGTTATAAAAGGTACTTTTTAAACTTTGTCTTTAGTTTGATTTTAGATATTTTTAGTTTTGTTTCTATATTTAAGTGAGAATAGGGCGGCAGTTAAATATTTTAGGTTTTGTTAAATATTCATTTTTTGTTTCTGGGAATTTTCCCCCTCTTTTAAAATACAATGACTAGAAAATATATTGGTTGTTTTGTTATTCAGTTGTTTTTAGGGGGTTTGCTTTTTTTGGAATGCTTGACAGAGTATAGGATATAATAGATAAGGGAATGTTTGTTTCATTTTGGAGAATAAAAGTGGGTTAGTTTTCATTCATAATTGATATGAATTATTTTGTTTGGTTAGTAAAGTCATGGTGAAAGACATAAATAGTGAAAAGAAAGAATTCTTTGGTGTATATGTGAGGAGTAAAGAAATGGTAGAAAGAAAAATAATTAACTATCATAACAATGTTCATTTTTAGTTGGCCCTTATTAGACTGGAACAACCACCAATTGCTCCATCTTCACTATTCAGCTCATCTTCCAACAATTCATCCGCCTCCGTTTCTAAATTCATGGATAAATCCTCTTTGGCCTCGACCCCAACATCTTCGCAAACCCCACCAACTACTTCATCAAAATCCCTCAAATCTAGCTCATGTAGAGCTTTTTGCACCAAGGCAGCCAATTCAGGTGGTAAATCCTTTAGATCATCATTACGTTCTTGGACAATGGAATTTGGAAGTGGTAACACTGCTCGTTTACTATCTTTACTTTGCTGTATTGTTCTATCAGCAGCCGAGCCGGAAGTTGAAGATGCCGTTTTATAGGCATACAAGGCAGCATCAGTAAAATCATTGAGATTTATTCCACCAACTCCTCCTCCGACCACATCATTATTGGTAATATCATACTCCGAGGATAAAATACTTCTACCCGACTCGGTTGACAACGATGACATGCCATCATCTGAGTTTGTGGCCAATGGCATTTTTATTGATTCTTCATTTTCGGAGGACATTGTACCAGAATCTTCGGTAACATGACTTTCAGCACCACAGGAGGTAGTGCTGCGTCCGGTTGTGGCTGATGAAACAACACCTCCACCACCTTTTTGTTTACTCTCTTCATCATTATTTTGATCTGTTTTGGAATTAGTTGAGTCAACCATGGATGGACAATAGCCTTTTAGTAGAAATTCGGAGGGAGAGAAACCCCCATCATCATCGTTGGAGGTCTCAATGCCAGCCAGAACTTTCATACGTTGTTCCAATTCAGCTATTTTTGTAGCCAGAATCCTTGATAAATAAAAAATATGATAATTACAGAAAAAAAATGAACAATTGACCTCTAACATACTTGTTGGTTTTCTTTTGATGATTCAATGCCAAATTCTTATCATTCAAATTATCCAGTAAGGTCAGGCATAGTGTTTTCAAATCTTGAATGGTCTCAGTTTTTGTAGGTAAGTCAATGCCACTTTCCAATAAATTTTTAACTGTAAAAAGGTAAGTAAATTATTTTAATTATTTAAAAAGATTATTGTTCAACGTTAAAAGGAAGGAAAATTAAAAATAAATTGAAATAAACAAAGAATTAAAAAAATTAAAATATGCAATAAATTGAAAAAAAAAAAAACAAACTTTGAAAAATTAAAACGTAAAATGAATATCAAGATTCAGTTTCACTTTATAGCGAAGATAGTCTCACCCAAAATTATTTGAAAAAAAGGATAGGGGTTCACGTATATTAAACTGCAACATCAGATCTGATGCTGAGTGCTTAATTGCAACTCTCAGAATATCCCACCCCGCAAAGAGGGTACTTAGGTTTAATGAGTTAATCGATTTCTAAAGATAAGTTCACTTCGGACTTTGTGGGTGAAAGGATGAATTGGGCAACAGAGCCCTGTACTAGGCAAAGTAGCCCCGAATCCCCGATACTCCTGTGATGCGAACGCTTTACGTACTTGAACTGACCAAGAAGTTTGGAGTTTTGTCTACGCAGTATTGTGATAATGCATACCGGGTTTTCCGACAGGAAATATATTTGAGTGATACATTCGACAAATCTCTTCCTTTGCAGATACTTCGACGGACACAGATTTATTAGACGAAGAAATCCTTAGACTCGCTGTTTTGCTAGCAGATGACTCTGGCACCGATCAACTGTATATTTAAGATGGTTTTTCACCAAGGGCCACTGGCTGTCATTGATCTTTCACTCACTATTCAATGAGTTGGGTAGGTTTAGCTGGGCAATTAAAGAGGTGCAGCGTATTGTGCGGACCTGTATCACACGCAGGGTTGACGTCACGCACATCTTCATCAATTCGTGCCCAATACGAATTGAGACGACTAAACCACCCTGAACGTAATTGCGCTAAAACTACACTGATTTGTCTAGGCAGATATGCCTACTGAACTAGAGGTTCTCTCTTAAAGCATTGGACCTCCCTCTCTAGATCGTGTATGTCTTTTCTGACACGCCTGGTTGGGGGAATCGTATCCACCATATGATGGTTGGAATGACTCTCACGGTAATATCCAAGCAGGTACTGCAACGAAAGCATTTTATTATGCTGACGCAAGGAAAGGACTTTCGCCACCTCATGTATCATCAGGCACCCTGTTGCAGTTCTCAGGGCAGCATTCTGACAGGTCTAGATGTGCTCCCACTGCGTAGCACTAGTATTCGCATACCACATTGGAGCCGCATAGCTGACCACAGACCGGTCTATCGCATTGTAAGAGGTCAACAAGGTTTCCTTGTCCGCACCCCAACTGCTGCCGATTAGCGCCTTGAGGACCTTGTTCGTACTTTTCATCTTGTCGCAAATGTGGCTTGCGCGGACGACTTGATCATGCTGTCGAATGTGACCCGTAGAATCGTGGGGTAGTTCGTGGTCGGTATTAAATTCACCTCGACCTGCACATTCAGCTGTGTTCTCATCTCCGCACACCATGTGGTAAAGAGTGTGGCCGTTAATTTCGCGTCAGATATTTTCATATTCCTTGCGTGGAAGTATACGGCAAGCCCGCAAAATAGCGGTTCAGCCTTTCACAGATGTCATCGACAAACGGGGCCGACGCCATAATCGTACAATCATCCGCATACGTAACAATCTCTAAACCGTCTGGAGGGCGAGGAATTCCGGAAAGATAGGGGTCAAACAGTTCTGGAGATATTACCCCACATTGGGGAACTCCCTGTTTCACTCTACGTGACTTCTTGCATGATTGACCTATCAAATGCCTTTGATAGGTCAAGGGCTACCAACACTGTTCTGTCACACGGTTTGTTCTGGTTCAATCCTCTATTAATATGTGTGGAAATGGCGTATAATGCTGTGGTGGTACTATGTTGTAGACGGCATTCGTGCTGATGGTTGGTAACTGGATAGTTTTATCTAATGCTGGGGAGGAGTAAAGCCTCGAGAGTCTTTGCTATTGGCGACAAAAGCGAAATCAGAATCTGTGTAGTTTTAACCATTGCCGAGAATAATACCTCGATCAAAGAACCCTAGGTTGGTAAGTTATTTTTCTCGAGAGAGGGATAGAGTATCGAAACAACAGTTTTTGTCGGTAATTATAGAGAATTCTTCTAGAACCAATAGACTACATAACGTTTTTTAGTGGATGTCTTTAGCAGTAGTGCTGAACGAACATTCTTTATCTGGATAAGTTTCCGAAAACGCGTTTACAAAAGGCTAATTTCATATATCTATTTTAGTTTTTACATCTTTATAAAATATGTTTACACTTCGGTGACCTAGTAGAGGCTGAATCATATTCTCAAATGTGTCCATAATAAACTATTGCATATTAAATTGTTTTAGATGTAGTTCTGCTATCTATATTTTTCCGATTATAAAACTGATTTTTCTACTAAATTTTCATAAAGAAATTAAAATTGAAATTTTCATTACAAAATAAAAATAAAGAAAAGAGAAATAAAAAACTAACAGCACAACAAAATTAAGAATACGACGCAACATCAAGATGGAAACAATTTAATGATAACCCATTACCTTGTTTATGTGACAGTATATTTTCATCGACATTTACTGAACTTTGTGCACCTAATTTCATTATACCCTTTTTACGTTTTGCTTCCAACATGGTCTTTTTTTGTATGTTAAAGGATGAAAAGGTTAATTATGATATGTTAGCATTTGGTTAGCTTATATAGTTAGTATCTACGAAAAAATATAAGAATATAAAAATTACCTTATATTTACTAACGGCTTGTTTGGTTAAATCCACTTCACTTTCAATATGCTTTAAACGTTCATTCAGGTACTTGTTCTCCAAAATGATACTGTCAATATCAAGGAACTGGAATTAAAAGAAAAAAATTAATTTAAATTGAAGCATCTAATGATCTCAGTAAATGTTGGGATCGGATCGAACTTTTTATACCCTCCACAATTTGATCAGTTAAATTGCACACAATTGCAAGGCCATATTCTCAATGAATAATTGGGGCCACCGTCATATGGGGATGAATTCAAAACCTGGTCTAACAAATAAATATTATCCGTTGCGAACCCAAAAATCCAAAAATTCGCCCATACAGATAACAATTAAGACAAAGACCTTTAAAATAGAATTAATTGGGAGACTAGACCTGCATAGAATAATGGTAACGAGAAATTTCAATTTAGAACCAATTCGTTTAAAACGGACGGAAGAAAACAGCAACATCAGCAGAAATGGTTCGAAAAGTAAATAAGCGACTTGATCGAAACACGCGTCGCAGAGATCGAAAAATGGCTCGTGAGCTGAACATATCGCAATATTCCTTTCGGCAAATATTGAAAAATGAGCTCGGAGTAAAGTCATTGAAATTCCAAAAAGTGCAAGAACTTACACCGCAACAGAAAGAAAATAGACTCAAAAGAGCTAAAGAGCATGCGCCCCCCAAGAATGGTTACAAATTGAGGTTCCTCGTTGGACTCTTTTATTTTGGAAAGCAAGGTTGGTAGTAAAAAATACCAAAGTGTTGATCACCTAAGCAAGCGCTTCGCCGGGAATGGGCCAAAATACCGCAGTCAGCATTCGAGCAGCGTGTGACGGTTTCATTGGTCGTTTGAAGGCTATAATTCGTGCCAAAGGTGACCAAATTAAAACCAATCTAAACTTATTCTAAAATTTGATGCTATATCCGACATTTTTGCTTTCATTCAATAAAATTTAAAAATAAATAAAATTTAAAATAAAAATTATGGCGTTTGACTTTGTTGCAGCTGTTTTATCTCACTCTGTATGTTGTTTTTGTAACTGCTCAACTCCAAATCCACTTACTTAAAATTTTACCCATATTCACAGGCTGTAGTCAAACATCTTCAGGAGTAGGCTTGAAAGGGCAATTAAAAAGATGCAGCGTATTCTGCAGGACTGTATCACACGCTGCATAAACGTTTCACACATCTTAATTTCAATGGATGTGGTTGGACTCCAAGGACGACATTAATACTGTACTTATTAATAGCATCTGTGCCTACAGTAGCATCAATTCATGATCTAGAGGACCTCTCTCTCTAGATCGTTTGGTCCTTAGTGAACCAACTCGGTGGGGAAGTTTTATCCGCCATATTAGGGTTTGGATGACTCACACGGTACTGGAACCCTGCACGGGAAGATGCTTTAAATTCTTGTAGTTCTGGAACAGCAAAAATGACAACTGGTCGAATGAGACCCCTAAAATCTTGGGGTAGTTCGTGGTTGGAATTAAATGTCTCTCGACCTGCACATTCAGATGTATTCTCATCTTCACAGACCACGTAACGAGTGTGTTCGTTGACTTAATGTGGATATTTCCATATTACTCGCTGCGAGCTCTGCGAGAAAGCTGTTCAGCTTTACACATACGTCAGGAACTATGCAACCTGACGCCATGATTTTACAATCTCTGTGACATCTAGGGGCGAGCATTCAAGAAAGGTGGAGGTTAAACAGTCCCAGGGATGTAACCCCCCTTATGTGAATAAGAGCATCTGTACTGCGGCTACTGAATGAGCTGAATGGACGCTCCATGGTCTAGTAAAACAGTTCTCTAATCAATCTTACTGCAAATATAGGATGATATCATAGAATAAGCAATACTCCAGAGTCTGGCCCAAAATGCTAAACAAGCTAAGTCCCTTTCATTTCATAGAATCACAAGTAAATCTGTTATGATAACTAACAACTGACGAATCAGACTAAATTCACTTGAATCCATATATCTTCCACATATAGCCCTTTAAAAATTCACCCATTATTATACTTGCCTTTGGATGGGTTTCTTTTGCCTTTAATGCCACCTGTAATTCATGATTCAGTCGATGGGCCTTACATTTGTAGGCATCTCTTTCGTTGGTCAATTCCTCTTTCTCATCGATGACTGCTTTCAAATCAAAAGCTAATTGAGCATTCTGAAAAAATACAAAAATTAATTATCCGATATGAATAATTAATATTACACTCCTACTTTTTTCTTCAACTGCTCCAGGTGGCAAATGAAATTTGAGCGTTCTTGTTTCCATTGTAACAACACTTCCTTTGAGCAACTGTCAAGCACCACATCCTCTTTGTTATTGTTGCCTTTAGCATTGCGTGTGGAATCTCTCTTAGCCTCTGCTGTGGATTTTTGATTTCGTAAAACTTCAATGTCACCCTGAACTTCGTATAACTTTTGTTTTAATGCTTCTACTTCGGTGGTCAGTTTTATATTCCGCTCCCTTGTTTCATGAAGAATCTTTGCCACATTGGTCTTGACACCACCGTTTGCCATTCCCATACTAACATCGCTGGCTAAATCTGAAAAACTGCTGTTGCGTCTCAAGGCCGCATAACGCAACTGAAGTGTTTCGGCCATTAGCTTAAACTGGTCACGTTCGGTACGGAATTTTTCCAGTTCCTTGCGGAGTATACGCAGGGCTTCCATTTTACTTTGGAGTTTTCGATGAAGTGCCGTTGTCTCGATACTATAGTTTTCCATATGTTCCAAACCAAACATGTCATCGTAGTTGTTGGTCGACGTAGAAGACTGACCGACACCACTAGCACCTCCTCCACCACTTATTCCAAGCTGTTGTGAACGTTTCCGTTGTGTCCACATAGTAGATTCCTTTAATTTATATTGATCCAGTGACAGCGATTCGTCATCTGACATTTTTTATGTTGTTTGTTGCATTTAATTCGGAATAAAAATTAAACAAAATGCCCGTATGAATGAAAGATTTTTCTAAAACACACACCAATGAGCTTTTTTTCGGTATTACAGAGCTTCTTTGAAGATATGTCGGCGTAGAAAAAGGTATTCCAAAGCTTCCCCACGGAAATGGAAACGCGTAAATGTGGAAAAACGAGAAAAGGGCCGATAAAAATTAGGAATCAAAACAAAAAGGCATTTTCTTTGAAAAACAAGCGGTAGTGATGCTACTGGGGCCATAACTAGAAATCGATAACATATATCAATAGTATGGCGTTGCCATTCATTTCAAAAATGTTATGCAGCAAAATAAATGGATATGAGCGTTATTTTTGCATGAATAAGAAAGTTTGATCAACTTTAAAGAAACTAGAAAAATTGAACTCTGTGCTGGAGTCTTATAGTTTCAAATAGACTCATGGTAGAACAAAGAAGGTAAAGTCATGTAATCATATGTTTACAATTTTTTCAAATTCATACATTTGACAACATCCCATTGTCAAAATCTATATTCACAAATTCATTGTATATACACAATCAAAGATTGAAGCTATTTTTTATGCATTGAAATTTGACAAGGTAAATTAAAATGCAGAGTTGGGAACGCTAATTTGAAATGAGGTTACCTTCATTTCATTGTACCATGAATAGACTTTTACACCTGCAACAATTGGTTTTATTTATTTTTCATTTTTTTTTTTAACAAAATTCTTATATGGGGAGAAGAATGCAATTTTGGGGTTTGGGGCTAAAATAGTAAGTCAATAAAGTGTTATCCCAAAAATTTTACAATGTGTTGCCCATTCACGTCGAAAATATGCATTTATTGAATAAAAGCAAAAAATGTCGGAAATAGCATCGAATTTTAGAATAAGTTTAGATTTGTTCGAAAAGGTGACCACCTTTGGCACGAATTATGGTCTTCAAACAAACTGCTGGACAACGAATGTTTTCTCATCGGAGAAAATCAAATGCCGCAGTTCGCCACTTTCGGCCAAGCGAAGCTGTCGGACGTGTGGCTTGGAAATGGCAGCAGTCTGAAGTTGGTTGCAGTTTTTTCATCTCCCCTTGTAAATGTGCGATGTTCTTGTAATTTTGCCAATATTGTTATCTGTATTAGATGAAGTCTGAAAATGGAATGCTTCGATCGACTATATTTGGTACCTCACGCACATTTTAACATTTTCTAAAAATTATCACATATCTCATATAAAGTGAAGGAAGTAAGCAATATATAATATTTAGGTCCAAAACGAAATGGACAATACTGGCCCATTCCTTCGGAACCTACTCCGAAGAGGGTCAACAATTTGAATAATCATAACACAAGTCAAAATATATTTAAATAATCGCACATTGGCTGAGAGTATATGTATATTATATCTATCGGCAAAACCTCCTGCTACTTTTGAACTTGTTTTTATACCCTACCCCACATAGTGGTAAGGGTATTATGCCTTTATGCATTTGTTTGTAACAGGGAGAAGGAGGCGAGATAGACCCATAGTTACTATTGAGGATCTTCATAAAATCATTTTCTGAGTCGATTTATGCTTATCAGTCCATGTGTCATTTCGACCATGTATTCTTGTGAACAAAATACAGGTCGCAATTATTATCCGATTGAGATGAAAATTTCCAAAAAATTTTTGTTTGCCCAGGGACGAACCCTATTGAAATTGGTGATAATCGGATCATATATCTTCAACCGCTTTCGGGTTAATTGTGCACCAAATGGACAAAAATCTTGCACATCCGACGGAATTCAGTCTAGAAGCAGGTACATCAAATTCGGTGAAAATCGGTACAGATATATGTTTCATCCGATTTGGCCTTTAAGTCCCTCACATTCATAACATGCATTCGACAAATTTTGTCAAGATCGGTTCAGATTTGGATATAGCTCCCACATATATCTTAAACCGATTTCGGGTTAATTGTGCAACAAATGGCCAATATCAGTCCAAATTCCTGAGTTTAGATACATCCGGCCGAATTCAGTCTAGAAGCAAGTACATCGAATTCGGAGAAAATCGGTTGAGCAATATGTATTCAACAACAATGATATTTGGTACCAGATGTACCAGATTATAAAGCTCCGAAATACCTTTGCCAAATTTTATTGAGATCGGATAAGTTTTGGATATAGCTCCCATATATATTCTTAATCCGATTTCAGGTTTATTGTGCACCAAATTGCTAATGTCAGCCCAAATGGAGTGAATTTCGGGATGTACGTTTCGTACAATCAAATTTATTTGGTATAAAAGATTAAAATGTCCCCGTCAAATTTAGTGAACCCAAACTGTAATTTCAGAACCTACTCCAACAATTTCAATAATCATAACAGAAGTCAAAATATACTCAATTTGTGGAACATTGGCTGAAGGTATACATCTGTCGGCAATACCAACTGATACTTTTTAATTTGATTTTAAGTATATGAACGCTGTGGTAAAAATAGTGAAATGTAGATGGAGAACACAACTCAGGCAACAACTGTGTATGACATTTCAAAGTTTTGCCTTTCTTTGTCTATCCACTAAAATAGCATCTAATATACCTAATGAGCCACTTAACCAGTGACGAAACGTATAGTATATTTGTTCATGCATGGGACTTCGCTAGATTCTAATTTTCAATGCCATCTCCTTAGATCATTAAAAGTTCAACTCGAAAGAAAAAATTGTCAAGAAAAATTTCAGTCGAGTTTATTAAAATAACTAAATGTATGTTTGTATCAAAAAACTCCTTAAATTAAAACAAACAAATGCCTTCCCTTTATCGCCATATCTTTCCCCTTGTTTTTCTTTCTTTCTCTTCAACTCGTTAACAGAATATATCATTTGCAATCCAACAGGTATTCTCGTTTGCAATTTCCCCAAGCTGCCATGTCAAGGTTCTTGACAGCGTTTACCTATCATATTCCGCAATGCTATTCAGCAGCAAACGTTTTTATACCCTCCACCTTGGAAAGGAGGGTATATTAACTTTGTCATTCCGTTTGTAACATCCTTAAATATTCGTCATAGACCCCATAAAGTATATATATTCATAATCAGCATAAAATTCTAAGTCGATTTAACGATGTCAGACAGACGTCTGTCTGTCTGTCTGTCTGTCTGTCTGTCTGTCCGTCTGTCTGTCTGTTGAAATCACGATACAGCCCACATTATTTGACGTAGAGCGCCAAAATTTAGCAGAGCAATTGGTATTGTGTCTAGGATGGTTGGTATTGAGAATAAGATATATCGGTCCACGTTCTGGTATAGTCCCCATATAACGGTACCTCCCGATATTCGGTATTTTGATGATTTATGCCACATTATTTAACGGATTTGTCTGAAAATTGGTATTTGTAGGTCATAACGGGTCCCTGTATGTGTGGCAAAACATAGCATGTATAGGTCCACGTTTTGGTATAGCCTTCATATAATGGTACCTCCCGATATTCGATATTTTGATTATTTTTGCCACAATTTTTAACGGATTTGTCTAAAAATTGGTATTTGTTGGTCATAATGGGTTCTAGCTCCGTTGGCGGAACCTTGTATGTGTAGGTCCACGATTTGGTAGAGCCCACATATAACGGTACCTCCCGATATTCGACATTTTAATGGTTTTTGCCACATTTCCTCTAATGTTTCCTTTATCCTAAGGTGGAGGGTATTAAAAGTTTGGCCCGGCCGAAATTAATGTTTTTTTACTTGTTGTTTATAAACAAATCCTAATGGAGTAATCTCCTCAATAATGAACAAACTGTTGCTGCAATTTGTTTGGATTTTTGTTTACAAACTATAAGCGATACGAAGAGGCAATAACAAAAATAGTGGGGGGAAGGGGAAGTATTGTCATGGTTATCTTCTTTCTTGCTGTAAACAAATCAGCTTTTGTTTATGAATCATTGAACTTGAAAATATGATGTGCATTTGTGCTGACGGCTCACTTGTATCCTTTCTTTATTTTTTGATACATTCAAATGGGCAATGACTGAGCCGGTAAAGCAGTTAAAAAAGAAAGCAACAATTGTAAACAATTTGTTCTGTAAATATCTACAGGTTGGTAGTTATATGTGAATCCATGGTACAATGAAGAGAAGGTAGGTCAACTTTAAAAAAAAAATGCAAGTATAGAGGTCTACCTGTTTGGCTTGTAATGTCAGAATTAGTATCAAAACAATAAAAAATTAAACAACTTGTTGCATTTATTTTGAATAAATAATTGAAAACCGCGATAACTGAATGAAAGGTCAACACTTCTTTTCAAAATCATGTACTATATATCTCTAAAGGATTATTTCGCTACAAAAACTCTAGATTTTGTCGATGCATGCGTTGAAATGAACATTTTGAAAATACCCGAATTTGAATGTTTTCTGAACAATTTATTTGTTATCGAAAATAAAACACATATATAAAAAATAAAGATGACATTTTAAGACAAGAAAATAAAAAAAATTGAAATCATATGGTATCATAGCCCTACCTTGATATCATTGTACCATGGGTAGTTGTAAATTAAAATTAATTTACTTATAGCTCGTTTAGTTTCTTAATTTTATCGAGACAGACATTATCAGGATTTACTGTTGAATCCAGACTTACTCAACTAGATTTACGAGTACCATACAAAAAGAGATCTTCTCACGACCGGATTTATTTAAACCTATAACTACCGAGGTGGTGGTAAATTTTACCAACTCATCACATTTTGTTGAAATTCTCTCTTCTTTTGCAACGAATAAAAATACCTGTTTTGTTTAAATGAAAAAAAATGTTTTTTTTACTTTTTATAATTTCAAATATTCATGGCAAAATTAAGAAGGTAAAGTCATTTCAAATAAATATCTTGTTAAATTTCACTGCATAGAAAAACGGTTCCCATCTCTGATTTGTGTTACTATGAATTTATAAATATACATTTAAAATAAATATAAACATATGATTGCATGACTTTACCTTCTTAATTCTACCATGTTTATTCTTATAAAACAAATAATTTTTAAATAAATTTTTTCTAATAAAATCGGGAGAGGATAAAATTTCACCTAGACAGTTAAAAGTTAAATCCGGTGCAGGCATGGTAGAAGAATACTGGTAGATGCTGTTATGGCGGCCAACACCATCACCATGGCCGGCGCTTGAGTTCTGGTGGTCAACTGAAGGTGTAAATTTTCAGCTGACCTCTATGGCAAGAAAACACGATCATTTTGTTTGTTTACAAACTCCTGGACAACGAATGTTTTCTCATCGGAGAAAACCAAATTTGGCAGTTCACCACTTTCGGCCAAGCGAAACAACTCTTTAGCTCTTTTGAGTCTCTTTTCTTTCTATTGCGGTGTAAGTTCTTGCAATGGCTTCATACCGAGCTCATTTTTCAATATTTGCCGAATGAAATATTGCGGTATGTTCAGCTCACGAGCCATTTTTCGGCCACAGCGACGCGGCTATCGATCAAGACGCTTCTTTACTTTCCGAACCATTTCTGCTGATTTTGCTGTTTTCTTCCGTCCACTTCCTACGAATAACTTTTTTTCTGGAAAAGTCTCACCAATATCCTTTTGTACGCTTTTAAACAATATAAAGAGCTGTCAATGGAATAATTTGAACAGCTGTCGGACGAGTGGCTTAGAAATGACAGCAGTCTGAAGTTGGTTGCAGTTTTTTCATCTCACCCTGTAATATCAGCCAAAATTGAATATATTTGTTCATATTCAACCGAATTTTACCATTTGTAACATTTGTAAATATTCGTCGTATCATATATATTCATAATCAGCATAAAATTCTAAGTCGATTTAACGATGTCCGTCTGTCTGTCTGTTGAAATCACGATACAGCCTACATTATTTGGCGTAGAGCTCTAAAATTTGGCAAAATAATTTGTATTGTGCCTAGGATGGATGGACGGAACTGTCTAAAAATTGGAATTTGTAGGTGATAATGGGCTGTAGCTCCGTTAGCGCAATATTGTATGTATAGGTCTACTTCCCCCATAAAAAGTACCGCTCTATATTTGGTATTTTTCCCACATTTTTCAACGGATTTACCTAAAAAGTGGTATTTGTAGTTCTAGCTCCTGTGGCGAAACATAGTAGATAGATCCACGTTTTCGCAGAGCCCCCACATAATGGTAGCTCCACATATTCAGTATTTTAAAGTTTTTTGCCACATTTTTCCACGGATTTGTCTATAAATTGGTATTTGTAGTTCATAATAGGTTCTGGCTCCGGCGGCAGATCATTGAAAATTTAGTTCCACGTTTTCCTATAGTGCACATATAACGATACCCACCGATACTCGGTACTTTGATAATCCTAGTCACAATTACCCATGAATTTGTTTCAAATTAAGTGTTTAAGAAGATTTGGTAGATGACAATTCTTGAAGTGTAAAATTGTCTATGGAGGTTCCCATTTTGATATAGCCCCCATACAACGACCTCACCCATTTTATGGTTTATTGAAAAGTTTAACTGCATTATCCAAACGGTCTTACTGGTATTTGCAGTTTAAAGTGGAACACGATTAAATTCAGATACTTTTAGATAAAAATGTTTTCTTTACCCAAAGCTGGAGGGTATTAAAAGTTCGGGCCGGTCAAAATTTTTGTTTTTTGCTTGTTTTATTTTGTAACTGTCCGAGGTTTTGACTTCTTGTAGGCCAAAAGACCCTCTTTGCGTAACTGTCGTGTATAATTTGAATAACGATAATACAAGGCGCCTCTTGCCGATTGGGATCCAGAGTGGGGTACAAAATATGTTTCCTGTAGATAAGAATTGGAAAATTAATACCACAACGTAGAAAAAATTTATACCTTTGTTCCTTACATATTTTTCAGTGGGAAATAGCTCAATGAGCTGTCGGGCCATATCATGAAATATGGCGGTATATTTGGCGACTTTGGATTCGACAACTTCCCGTATTAGAATGTTGACAATACGTTTGCGATTTTTTATGTCCAAGAATTGATTTGTTTTATAAAACTCTAAGATTGCTTGGCCTTCGGTGTATCGTTTCAAAATATCGACAACAATCTAAGGAATAGAAATTTGATTAGTATACAGCCTCTACCTCTTCATAATGATCATACAAATCTTTCGCCTTGGTATGTTTTCGAAAAAGTTTGTTTAGCCTGTTTATATTTAGGATCCGCTTGGAGAACATGTATTCTATCATTGTTGTTTTCATCCTGTACTTGATGTTGATATTCGGAATTGAATGATCGTTCAGAAAGCGCTTGATCTAAAAAGGTGGTAATTATTTTAAACAATTCTTTGAAAGAAGTATTATTTTCCATTCTTTACCTGTTGTATCCCTCTCCAAATCCTCTGAATTACATTCAGTTTTCAATTCAATTTGTTCCAAAAATGATTCATTATCCAGATATGAGCTTTGTACTTGACTGTAGGCATTTCCTGTATTACATTGTGTTTCTCTCCATTCTTGTAAAAGGGCACGAAATATTGTTCGTAAACCAATTTTAGGTATTAGTTCGTTAATATCCGCTTCGTTCAGGTACATTAGAGAGCGTAGGGTTATATCATGATCTACAAAGTATTAGCACAAAATATAAGATTAAATAAATTAGCGAAAAGAAGTTTTTTTTTGAAAGCTGTTGCTACCTTTGAAAGTCTTTTGTAATTCCATTAAGTTCCACTTTTGCAGAAGTTGTAAAACGTCAGACTGTCCAGTTTTCAAGTACTCCAGCTGGGGCGTTGATGAGCGAGATTTAACTAGAAGAAGAAATATGTTACATAAATCAATAATGGGATGCACAAAGCAAAGCGGACTTCGGAAGTAACAATGCTGACGTTTGTCATTGGTGCGAAAAACCTGAAATCTGATAAAGATATATATGGGAGCTATATCCTAATCTGAATCGACCTCGATAAAAGTTGATAGAGGTATTATGGAGATTCATAAGTTATCTGCTACCAAATATCATTTTTGTGGAGGGCATATTACGCATGTGAGGGACTTTAAACCCCGAATCGGGTGGAACACACAGGGTGAGATAAAAAACCGCAACAAAGTCAAACGTCACAATTTTCACATTTTTTTTAATTTTATTGAATTAAAGCAAAAAATGTCGGAAACAGCATCAAATTTTAGAATAAGTTCAGATTTGTAAGAATTGGTCACCTTTGGCACGAATTATGGCCTTCAAACGGCCATTGAAACCGTCACACGCTGCCCGAATATTGCTCTGCGGTATTTTGGCCTACTCCCGGCGAAACGCTTGCTTGAGGTGATCGCCACTTTGGTATTTTTTAGTGCCAACCTTGCTTTCCAAAACACTCCTGACGCAATAGCCCAACGGATTGGTATTCGGAAATTTTGGTGGCCATTGTGCGCTGGAAATGAAGAGAGGAATCTCATTTTGTAACCATTCTTGGGCGGCGCGTGCTGAGTGCGATGGTGCTGAGTCCTGTTGGAATGTCCAAAGTCTGCGGCCAAAATGTTTGAGTGCCCGAGGCTTTAATACAGCCTCCAGAATATTTTCGAGATAACAACAAGGACAAGGAATGGTTACTCATCGGAGAAAACCAAATTCGGCAGTTCACCTCTTTCGGTCAAGCGAAGCAAATCTTTAGCTCTTTTCAGTCTATTTTCTACCAGTTGCGATGTAAGTTCTTGAACTTTTTGGAATTTCAATCATTTTTTCAATACCCCGAGCTCATTTTTCAATATTTGTCGAATGGAATATTGCGATGGGGTCAGGTCACGAGCCATTTTTCGGCCACTGCGACGCGGGTTTCGTTCAAGTCGCTTTTTACTTTTCGAACCATTTCTGCTGATGTTGCTGTTTTCTTGCGTCCACTTCCTTGACATCGGGCTAAGCTACCAGTATCACGGTAACGAGCGATGGTACGAGACACAAAAGATTTATTCCCAGTTAAATGCTGGAGTGCTCTAACGATAGCCACTTGTGGTTTTCCAGCCAAATATAAAGAAATCACACTATCCCGCTTGAATTCCATCACGAATTACTTTTTTTCTGGAAAATTCTCACCAATATGCTTTTGTAAGCTTGTAAACAATATAATGAGCTGCCACTGGAATAATTTTAATACCTGTCGGACTAGTGGCTTAAAAATGACAGTAGTCTGAAGTTGGTTGCAATTTTTTCATCTCACCCTGTATATATGGGAGCTATAGCTATATCAGAACCGAGTTGAATTTGATGTTGTTGCTTCTAGTCTGAATTCGGTCAGATGTGCCAAAATGCATATCATTCGGACTGATATTGGCTATTTGGTGCACAATTAACCCGAAATCGAATGAAGATATATATAAGAGCTATATCTAAATTTGAACCGATTCTCACCAATTTCAATAGGGTGTGTCCTTGGGCCAAACAAATATTGCTCGGAAAATTTCATCTCAATCGGATATTAAATGCGAACTGCATTTTGTTTACAAAAATACTTGAACAGATGGACGGACTGACATGCATAAATCGACTTAGAAAGTAATTCTATGAAGATCCTCAAAAGATTCCTTCTGTTATGTTACATGTGGGAATTTGAGGAGATTTATGGATTTGGATGGTTATTTCGCTTTTGTTTGAGCGTTTGGGTTTTAAAATGTTGAACCCTATGTGAGGGAGGTACCAGAAGAATTGGTGCGATCTCTACCATCTTTATAACAGATCTTGTGTTGACGGAAATATTGAGATGGATCAATTCTGAATAGAATCGAACGTTATTCTCATGTTTTATGAGCTTCATGGATACTAAAAATGTTTACCCTTTATAGAGGAGGTACCAAAAGGAGTGATGTGTGTAATTTCTAGAGAACCAGACGCTTAATACAGACTTTATGATCGTTTTGGTTATTAACAATTTTAACCTTTTGTGGAGGAGGTACCGGAAGGAATTGTCCGATCTCTACTATCTTTATAGCAGATCTTGTGTTGATAGAAATATTGGGATTCACCAAGTCTGAATGAAATCGGATGTTAATTTCGCGTTTTATATTCATGGATATTCAAAATGTTGACCCTTTGTGGGGGAGGTACCAGAAGGAGTGGACCGATATTGCCTATATCCGAGCTCGATATAAGTTTGACAATAACATTTCGATGTACCAAGTTTAGATCAAATCGTATACTCCCATCGAGAATTATCGTGCGCACCAGTGGATGGACATCACTAGATCGGCTCCAAATGTCCTAAAACGGATTTGGTCCAAAGAGAAGTAGGGTCTAAAATCGTTATTTCGATAAGGCACGTTTTGGCTGTGTCAAATGATATATACCCTCTGTAGCCATATGGCTTTGAGTATAAAAAGTGTTTTATGTATTCTCACCTTTAAACCGATAACATTGGATTTGTTTCGGGGAGAGAAAGCTAATGTACCTAAAAAGCCAACCAGAAAAAAATTTTAGTACACCAAGCCTTGGCGCAAAACTTTCTATGCATTTGAACCTTTAGGTTCTCTTTTTGGGAATTAATTCTAGGTTTGGAGAGAGGGCATTCCTGGTTATGAAGTTTAGTTTTTACTCATGCCAAGAGCATTTTGGCCTCCGTGCTTTTGTATCCACATTTTGAGCCGTTATCCTTTTAAGTAATAAAGCCGAGGTTGTGTTTTCCGAGGGTTAAAACAAGGCGCTATTAGCGCTTGTAGCCGCCTGGGAATCAATCACGATAAATTTGTCAACTGAACCTGCAAAGCCAAATGAATGGTTGCGGACATAAAAAGCTTTATCTGAATCCTTGCCAAGGATTTAGTGGTGGATTAGAGACTTGCGACTTTATTCTGAAGCTCGTTTTTGACACATTTCCCTCCCGCCTAATTAAGTACTAATGGAATCGAGGAATCTTCGCCAAAATGAATAATACATAGTATATCTGAATCGTATTTCGCTGTAACTTTAGCACACTAAAGGTGAGAATACATACGCTTTCTTGACTAGCTCAATTCATCGGCTGGCTTCTTCGTAGAGCAACAAAGGAGTTTTAGGTTGACTTAGTTCGATTTTGGCCCCGATTTTGACACTTAAGCCAGTCAAAAAAGCGTTTTATATATTGTCACCTTAATTGGTTGGCGCCTTCCTTTCACCAAGTCCTGAGAAGCTTCGTTGGATATTTATGCACTTGCTTAACATAAACTCGGGCCTGATCGTTTAAGTATCTGGTATAGCCTATCTGATTTGCAGCTATGCTAAGAATCTGTAGGTAATAGCTCTGCGCTTCGATTCCCAGTTTGGAATATTATAAAATGGTACTTTTAAAAGATTTATTTGTTAGATTTTATCTTCTTTTGTTTATTTTGCAGGCGCTTCTTTTGGTTAATTAATGTTTTTTTTTTTCTAGATTTTGAAGTTTTTGTTTTGTATATTTTGCAGGTGTTTCTTTTGATAAATTACAAAATCCTTATTTTAGTAGATTTTAAAGCTTTTTGCTTTACCTGATTCATGCATTATTATTCTTTTTTACTTTTATTCACTTTCTCAGTTAGTTTTCTTTTTGTTGCGATTAAAATTGAATGGAAAACCATAAATAACTTAGCCACACTCTAATCTTTTCTTATCGCGCCGCTATAAAAACTACTATAAAATTCGACACATTACTGCGATGGTGTTAATTCAACCGGACTCACGGACGTCTGTTAGACTTACTGTCTTGAGTTGATTCGTACTAGGTAAGAAGTGATTGTCACTTCCATTGTTTTTTTATTTTACCTTTAAGAGTTTTCGACTGTTATTATCACACTTGTAGATTATACCGGACAGGCGATAACAATTTAGTACTGTTCTTTTCCATTCAGTGGACATTTGTGTGAGAGCAAGAGAGATAGCAGAGTGTGTAGGACTAACAACAAGATCACATCATATGAATACCCTGAAGTCTCACAAATATTTTCAATTCTTAATAATATCATTTAACTGTTCTTATCTTTCGACATCAATTTATTGTTCCCGTCATGAGGTGCAATAATTTACTCAACTTTATCCACTTCAAGCAGACAGAAGTGGGTAAAAATGACACAAGTGATCTAGAATATTTGTGTTTTTATTAATTTAAGAATGCGATATAGAGATGATGAACTTTACATATAAAAAGTGATTGTTATAATAAAATTTATCTTCGGATTCCAGACGAAAGTAAAAAATGCGTGTTTTCTTCTGAAAATATTTAAATTTGGTTAAAATCTGTTGATTAGACTTAAATATAAAGGGGTTAACCCACATTTGGATAAAAATGTTCATATCCATTACATATACTTAAAAAAATCATTTTAATGTAGGTTAACTCTAACAAAAATATCGAACACAAACGTGACATTACTCTCTCTCTCTCTCTCTCTCTTCATCGGACTTTTGATTTATTCAACAACCTTTCGTAACAACTTTTACAAATTGTTATTTACTACAATTTATTATAGCTGTCAAACATTATGTCTGCAGTGACCGTTTGGCGACAAATGCTCCCACTGTGTTTCTACTATTGTTATTTCCATCGAATTTATCTAATTTAAAGTAATAGAATTTATAATATACGCATATGTGACAGTTGAACATGTTATCTATCATTATTGTGTCAATTGTAATCATAAAGGCTAGTTGATGGATTTGTATTTTTTGTATAATCTTATCGTACCTTTTTTAACTATATTTTATTTAATTATAACAACAACAAAAGGAATGAAGAACGAATTGGGGAACATTGCCGTTGTAATTGGCTCTAATGTACTTTATTCAAAGTAAAAAAAAAAAAAAATAAAGACAAAGTACGTCAAATACGTTATTCCCCTATATCAAAACGTATTGGAAGTACTTCTTAATTTCTTTGTTTTTCTCTAAGGTTGTCATTTTTACTTACTTCTCTACTTCTTACTTACTTATGCTAAGTTCACATGGCACGTAATTCTATTCCTTGTTCGACCATTAATTAATTAATATCTACTTAATTCCCCACACAAAATTTGCTGATTGATGTAGTATGTATCGGATAGCTAGGTTGAAATTGCTATGCAAATATATCGGATTGAATTCTATGGCCTGGCACGCATATTTATCCAGCCTTATTGCTCGTCGTATGGGGGGGATCTTGGTCAAAATTCAATTCGTTTCTTGTCCGTAGTTACTACCAGTTTAATAATATAATGCGTGCAAATTCACAAGAAAAATAGAAAGACAATAAAAAGAGAGAAAAACTAGAGGAAAATCTACTATAGTCCAGACAGAAAAGAAAGAGGATTAATTCTCATCACGGTATGAGTAGTCATGCATAGTTGGTAGTTGCATGATAAGCCCACCCATCCTGTTTATCAAATGATCCACCAAAAACTAAACAAAATCAAAGACATCATGATAAACCCAATTGTTATACTCCCACTTTTCCTACCCTTCAAAAACAAACCTCAAAAACGTTTAAGCCATATTCAAATAATTCCAATTTTTATTGATAATCAAAAATATCATTTTTTCCAGCCTATAGCTAGGTACAACAAAATCATACAATCTCAAAGGAATTCGAATTAAATTGTAATACTAAATTCAAGAATAATAATAAATCCATTCTCCTAACGCATCAAGAAAATCAAAAAAAAAATTAAAAAAATCAAACTTAATAATTATGAATACTAAAAAAAAAAAAAAAAAAAAAATCATGAAAAAAATAACTTAATTTCAAAAAAAATCTAAGTATATGAGATCATAACTGAAATTTTAAAGGAAAATATAAAAAAAATTAGTAATTAAATTAAATTATATCAAAAACATAACATTATTTTTTTATATCAAGATTTATCATATTTTCAATAAAAACATTCGAAGAGAAAAACAATCAAATAATCACCAAACAAAAATATTTCATATCAGTATGTAACGCAAAAGAAAAATGTATGTGTGTATGATCGTTACATTTGCTTTTTGTTTTACAGCAAATCAGCTGTTGTGTCAACGACCTGCTTTGTTACAACCGTATGTACAAACATACATACATACGAGTATGTTAACAGCAGTCGATTTGATCAAATAGTTTTTTTTCGTTTTTTTTTTAATTTGATTCAATAATCACACCAAATATAAAAATAAGTATTTAATTGCCGATGTCAACAGATATGCCAGTAAATAAAACTAATTTAATAATTTTTAATTCAAACAAAAATAAATATAAATGAAACATTCAGTAGAAGCAATGCAAACAGTGCTTTCAAAACTGTAGCTCTCATTGAAATGTTAACGAAGGTAGGTTAACAGCACTTCGTCTGTTATTGTTCAGTGTAACATTGGCATATCCATTGGCAATCGTATGTACACAGGAAACAAATTAACATTGAACAAACACAAATAAAGGAATCCTTTAAAAGAATTATTTCAGTAATTAATTCAATTAATCAGGTTTTTAAAATAATTAAAAATAATTTATAATTATGATTTTATAAATTATCTTCTATATTCTCAATTAAATGAATGCAATAGGCAATTCCAAGAGAGATAACGGAACAGTTACTCTCACAAAAAACCAATGATTTGTGCTTGTTCAATGCGATACGATATAAGAGAATTCGAACTTACTTGGTGATCGATTGAACTCCCACGATGAAAGGCCTTTCGAACTGGGGTAACAGCAAAGCGATCAGCAATCTCTTAATACGATATGGTTTAAGTAAATGCGTATTTGAATATTTGGTGTTACTCTTCTTCTTCTTCAAGTACTGATTATATTTTTGTTGTTATTTTTTTTTCTTTTTTTTACAAAAAGATGGTACAGAAAATTATGATTTTTTTTTTACATGACCAAGTACACACACAAACTTTTGCTCTTTGGTTTTTCGTTTTGTTTCAAATTTGATTGTTTCACTTTTAATATATTTTTTTATCTCTCTCTCTCTCTCTCTTAAAATTATTGTAACAAAAACTAAGTTAAAATTTTTCTTTTTTTTCAAAGCAATTTATGTTGGATTTTCAAGCTAATTTTAAGCAGGTTTTCTTTCTTAGTGAATACACTTTTGGTTATTAAAAACTTCTTCAAACACCATTTCGTGAACTAAATCACAGAATTTCTATGCCGAACTTTACTTTATGCGAGATGTAATCGGCAGCACTCGCTGTAACCAACGCACTCTATCAACTAAATCGAATCTCAGTCAGAATCTCAGTCTCCTCTCTGGGCAAAAAAAACACACTTGTAGAGTGAAGGGGACACCGGTATGCAAAATGCACCGGGGAAAAGGGTATTCCTAAAAACAGATTGAAATGCACAATAGAAAATCAGCGCTAAGGAAATAGGGCTTTCATATAATAAAGAAATCTCACCAATGACTATGTTAAATTCCAGATTTTATGGTATCACCAGGATATAAAAGAAAAACTGCAGACCCAGGAAATATATGGAACTCCAATCCAACAACCAGGGGATGTTGAAAACCAATCGGAAGGTCAAAACGTTTGCACAAAAAAACACAACGTTTGCACCCAAAAATTGTTTTAAACAAAATCAATGATTTTGTCAGCTTTTTTTTTCCCCTCCGCCAGTTTAATAAAAAAACACTTGGGATATTAGGAGCAACCAATAGAAGTTCCTTTTCGCCAACAATATTTAAAATTTAGTGTTCACTAACCAAAAGTTTCTCGAAAATGACCAAGATGGCTCCTCTGCTACCTCCTTTTGTAATCTCGGTTATTACACTAAGATTATGGCTGAATATCAATACATGAAAAAACTTCCAAAATCAAACATGGCTCATTCGAATTACCAATACTTCAACATTTCATTACAAAAAAAATTCGCAAACGTATTGGTTGACAATAAACTAATAAATAAGTGGAAGAAGAAAAGCATAATTTCTCACCACCCTTGTAAGGGGAAATTATGGCAACCAAAAGTATACTAGGTGACTCCGAAAATTGATTGTGTGATTGAATATCACCATTGGCATTCGAAACCATTAATGTTTTGAGACCAAATAAACCAAAAAATAATCGATTTCATAAAAAAAATAAAAAGAAAACAAAAAAAAAATTTACCCGCAGCGAGATTCGAACCTGGGTCTCGCGGATGGGAACCAGAGACACTCCCACTAGGCTACCGACGAGATAGGGGCGAGGCTAGCAAAGTATCTAGCACACCCCCTCGGAAGTTACTAGCATACAATACGATATATTAAAGTGAATGAGAATGCATTTTAATGTTCTAATAATAGAACTGCATTCCTAAGTCTCTGATAATAGGGAATTTAACATGAATAAATGCAAGTTAACATTAGCTAATGCAATGCAAATGAACAGAGGTGTCCTAACCTTGAATCATGGTGTGCCAAACAACCACACAAAAAAAATAGAAATGAGATTATTTCAAGTGTCTACATGCGCCACTACATTACCCCCCGCCAAAAATCAGACTTAACGGCTAAAAAAAGTTAAGGATGATACCGCATGTAGATACCGGTTATTGCCTAATATCCTTTGCGTGGTAAATACCTATTAATTTGCCTTGGAGGTCTTCGAGTTCGTAATTGCAGTTTCCACATTTCCGACGAACTCTACACTTTATAAAGGTCGGTGCCAATTTCGAACTATAACCTTTTTCGAAGTTACTCTGGCTAAAGTTCCTTCTAAAAACTTCTTGTCCGACTTTATATGACACTTCTCGTGATCTAAGATTGTATTGTTTTTCGTTGCGTTCAAATATTTTCCTCATATTTTGAATTGCTCTATTCCTAACAATGTTAAATGAATCATCCCTGTTGAAACTGATGGATCTATCTTCCAACGCATTTAATTTCCTCAGTAAGCTGTAAGTCGATCCATTAGTGACCATATGCTGACCAAATACCATAAAGTATGGGGAAGTACCAATGGATGTATGGACTGTTGACCGTAATGCACATGCAATATGACTAAGTTTTTCGTCCCAATCTTTTTGGTATGATCTAACATAGGCCTTAATAGCGGAAATTACGGATCTATTAACCCTTTCTGACGAATTAGCTTGCGGAGAATGAACCGCTGTATAAATATGGTTTACTTTATAACCATCCAAGAGTTCATTGAATTTCTTCCCCTTGAATTGTGTACCATTATCAGATATAATGCTCTCAGGTAC